GAATTTTACTCACTGACCATCTGCTGGATTTGGTAGACAGATTTGTCTGCAATCCAGCAAAGAAAGCTGAAGTCAATTCATAACATTGACTGCTATAAACAAAATTCCCATAGTAATTCTCATGGACACAGACTGTACACAGAAGTGAATGAGGAAAGGAGGAAATGGTTTTATCACAATTCCATATTGACAGCAGTGGCAACAAACTGTAAACATTTTGCAATAAGACCTTTCTTTGCTACATAAAATAAGTGACTCGGTATTCATTACACCAAGAATCCAATCCTATAAAATATCCATGCATGAATCTGTCATTAATGGAGTATAACATTCAGACTGTTACAAGATCTAACTAAAAATATATCATTATTATTAATGCAAATAACAAGTTATAATAAAGTAACATGATTTTATTTTTAACTTTAACTTTAAAAACTCAGAATATTTAGAACAGTGTAAACCTACTGAGGCCTCAGGTTTACACCACTGCAAGATCAGAATCTAGTCTAGCTCATTTAAATACACCAATAAACACCTACTAAGGAGTATGAACCTGAAATCCAAACAAGAGCAGGAGACTGCTGAGGTTCTCTAACTCTCAAAGCATCTGATTCAGCTTCCAGGCTCTGCAAGACCCTCAAGCATCAATCAGTGCTACCAAGAGACAGATCTATAGCCTTGCCATAACAAGACCTCCCTATAGCCTCTTCACATACACCATGGTCTTTGTAAGTCTGGATACCTTCTGGATAGATCTCCCTGATCATTGCTGTGATGCCCACTTTACTCTCACTCCCTCCCATCCTCCCTAAAACTCGACATGTCTGTTTTTCCCAGAGAGGAAATGCATTCTGGCCCTGTTTAGACATGTTGTTTCATTGACAAACAGCACAGTGGACAGCCATATGCCTTTCTTCTATCAAGGCTGCTAATTTTAGACTGGATTTTTTTTTTTTTTCCTGTGCTGGAGTCTGTTTTAAACACAGTCAGAGAGAGACTGAAGGGCGCCAGGATATCCCGACACAGGAGAAGGAAGTGCCTGCTATTACCTGTTATGCAAGCTGAACCTTGAAATCCCCAGTGCTGGGAGGGGAGAGGGGAGGAAAGCCAGAGTCAGAATGATTAACAAAACACTAATGAGAACAGCTAAAGAAGCTGTTGAATCAAGGAGTTCATCTGCCTGCCTGTGTTCAAAAGGTGTGAAGAGATGGATCTGGCAGCTCATGACAGTTACAAAGACAGATATTTCGCTATGTGAATCAAAGGTCTCCCATCTGCAGAAATAATGCAATGACTTTGGTGGCCATCCCTGCTCCTCCGCCTTTGCAGTTGTGCCACACTCTCCTTCACCATCATCAGATGGTTTTCTGCCTTGCAGTCAGTAGCATGATATTCATTTTACATGTCATTATCTTAGTGAAAGTTTTATGTTTAAACAAATTTCTTCCTGATATCCAGAACAACCAGCTGAAGTCTTCTGGAGTGTATACTTTCAAAAAAAGAGGGAAGGAGTCATCATGTCTGCCTAGTTTTCCAGGAAAGTGGTACATCAACTGCTGACTACCTGGGTAATCAAGGGTCTGCACTCACAGGACAGGCGGTTCAGAGTACAGCTTGCATTGAGAAAAGAGGTTATTTCCTCTTTCACAGAACCCAACGTGTGCTCTGTAATGTTGAGCCACTCAAACTGACCACAAAAATCAGCCCTGGCCACCAAATTCCCTGAATTGGGGTCAGGTGACAGCATTTTATACACCGTGGCTGAAATGTCTTTGGTATTAGACAAAACACATGCAAACTGTTAGCAAGTCCAGCATTTCTGTTGCTCTGGTGAAGGATTGCTGCTACATCTAGAGACCAAGACTGTAATGTCCTCCCCTTATTGAAGGGGAGGAAAGTGGCTACCCCTTATGCTATGAACCACAGGTAATACTCCGCCTCTGAGCCTCCACTCTGAGATGGCAAACTCTCATCTCCTTTCAAAGTAAAGCAGCAATATTAGGCAAAAACATCAGAACAGTGGATACAAAGCTAGTATTTAAAAGCACTTTGTCCATTTGAAACAGCCCAAGAGAAATCACTGTGAAGCTCTCCCATACTTCATTTTAAGGGTTAAAGCCAATGTACTTTAGGCCAAACACATTATTCGTGCAAGAGCAAACCATATTTAAGAATGTATTCTTGAGTACTGACTGGGTAATTTCTATTTATTACACTTGCAAATATGTTACTGAAAACACAAGGACCCACCTCCTGTTTTTTCAAAATCCAAGTGATTTAGAGAATTTTTCTGCAATTCCGTATCCTGTCAGTAATTTCAGAAAAAAATATCTTGAATCACGACCCCTCTAATTCAGACTTCTGTTTGATCTCTAACTTTCATCCTGGAATATGCCAACAAGTGCTGAAGAGAACCGCAATGGTCACCAGTAGAATGGAATCTAATATTATGGAGGAAGGATTGAGTATATGGCTCAGAATCATAAAGTCAATTTACAATTTTCTTATTTTTAGTCAGACTTTACTCACTGAAATATTATGTGTGGGTTTCATGGCAGTTTCCTTACGTCTGAACAAAAGTCCTTTTTGTTTTATTATCTTCCAAACTCTATCACAAGTTCAAATCAACCATCTCTGATACTATTAGAGCTTGTAATGACTCCAGGCTTCACCACTTTCTCACTTCTGCCACCTGCACAAGCATTTGACAGTCATTCAAAAAGGATGGACCTCTGACAGAAAATAAAGCCCCAGGAAGCAAAGAGGAAGGAAAGAAGAGAGGAAACAGCATTGCTCCTGGGACAGCAACGGGATTCACACAACTCCAAAGCTCTGCAACCTCACACCTCCCAGTTAACAGGAAAGTGAGTTGTTTGCTTTGGAAAAGGCATATGGTGAAAATGGAACCAGTGTTGTATGTGGAATTTTGTGTCAACGCTCGGAAGTTTCCCTCTAGAGGGTTTCAGGTTTTCAGGTTTTTTCCAAGGAACTGTTACAGTCTCAATGTGCTGAATGCAGGATGAACAACAGAGCTGACAGAAGAGCAGTTGGAAAGGGAAATCCATACTAATGGGACAGGGAATAAAGAGCACTCCAGAGAATATCAAACTACTACGAGCAGTAACCTGCCAGACTGGATCAGACCTTAAGAGACTTGACTCAAGTCTCCAATCTCGTACAACAGCCATTATCAGAGACTATGGAGTGAAATGTTAGAAACATAATGGGAAAAATCTGGGATAAAATATTCCTTACATTAGATCTCATCCGGGTTTCTGAAAGTCCAAGATTGGAATAAAGCTAAATCATAATAATTAATATTTGGGGAGTGACTTTTTACAAAGGCAGGCAGTGATAGAACAAGGGGTAATGCCTTGAAACTGGAAGAAGGCAGGTTTAGATTAGATATTAGGAAGAGATTCTTTGGTGTGAGGGTGGTGAGACACTGGCCCAGGATGGCCAGAGAAGCTGTGGCTGCTCCTCCCTTGAAGTGTTCAAGGCCAGGTTGGATAAGGCTTTGAGCAACCTGGTCTAGTGGAAGGTGTCCCTGCTGATGGCAGGGGGGTTGGGACTGGACGAGCTTTAATGTCCCTTCCAACCCAAACCATTCTATGATACTATGATAATATTCTTGACAATCCATTTTCAGCATTAAATTACTTTAATACATAATATCTTGAAGATTAAAAAGTTTTGTGTTCCTACTGAGCTTGTAATTTATAGCTAAATAAATTACAATCTCATCTCTCTTGAATTTCAAGCACTGAATTCCAGCTTTTCCTACTGTGTTTTTCTCCAGACTCCTAACACATCACAGGAAATCTGAGTTCACATGCGTTGTCATGTCTGTGCTATTAAAGCTAAACAAAAAAATTGTTAGATCATTTACATTCTCTCTTCTTTCTGGGTACTACAACTTTAGATTGGTTGATATCCAGAATATCTTAATGCAGAATAGACCAGCAAAGCAGCCACTGGAGAATATAGCTGAAGATATTAATGATAGCAATGTGATCCTGATTTCTGTATTACTTCCTTCCACCTTTTTCCTTCATGACACCCTCAATCCAGATCTGTTCTAAGATGAAATCTATGGAGCTGTAAACCTAATACTTCCTGAAAGGGAAGCAGATAAATGAGACACTGTAAATAACCTAAAAATCATAATGAAAAGAGAGAACTTGACTGCTTGATTTGTGCTAAATGTTTTCATTATTTCTCATTTTTTTTTCACTTCAGTGCCAAACTTGTGTGTTCTTTACATGGACTGCAAACCTCACAATGAAATAATCTTGTTTTCATACATTTGCTCTGTTTTCCTTCTCCTTCTTCTGGCAGCAGAAGTCATCCTATAGGACAAGCTGTAAAGAGGAGGATTATAGATTTTCTCTCAATATAGATTTTCTACCCGCCCAGAAAAAACATAATGTAGATTTCTTCAACTGCACTATCAAATGTACTAATAAAAAGGAGGAACATGAATCAAGGGCTGTCTGAAAAAAACCCAACCCTATCACAGAAGTAAAAAAGTGACTATAAGAGTTCTTTTAAAATGCTAAAAATCTGTAGTTGGCTTGCAGCCAGCAATAGTCAAACAGGAAAT